TGTAGAGCAATGCGAATCGAGACGGCTAGTCCAACTATTCTCACTCAGTGTTTAAGCTGTAATGATCGCTCCCTATAAATACTTATGACCATTGTAATACTCACGCAATCTGAGAGAAGTGTGATAAAATATGCTTGGCTTTCTCTATTTACTTTGTATAAGAAAAGTTGAAAAAGTACATAGGAAAGAAAGAAATGGTTTTATTATATTTAACACAAACTATGAGACATATTTACAGCCATGCTAACGCAGATAAAAACATTCATAAAATGCAATAAATAAGTATTTATTTACATATGTATGCTTGAGATACCTTGCGTGGTAGTGAAAAATTCAATCGAATCTAATTGTGGCTGGTGAGTTGGTGGCGTACATGGAGAAATGTACGGCACATGCTTGATTTTAAATTTAGATACGAAAATTAGAACAAACTGATAAGATATTTGTTGGCGGCTTGATGGCAAGCTTTCATTAGCATTAGCAGCGGCAAGGAATTCAACAAATGCAAAGGTGATGGCATTGCTCGGTTGTCAAGTTGTAAACAAAAGCCTTCAAGCACTTGGGCCTTATCAACTTAATATCAACCAAAAAACCAAAAAAAATAAAAACTAAAATAAAATAAAATGGCAAGAACTTTGATGCCAATGACCAACAGAATTGACGAACAATTTATTAAACCTCTTTTTTTTTGTTTATTTATTATTATTATTATTTTTTGTTTGTTAATGCATACATATCTATCTTTTCTTTTTATTATACGAGTAGTTAACTTAAACAAATATACTAAAAAACAAGTAAGGAAGAGCTAATTTCGGATGTAACCGAACATTTTATACTCTCGCAAAGCCGAATGGTATATTCGTTTGAGATTTCTTTGTGGATTGACTGATATTTTCGGTAGAAGGTCAACTATAGGCACTGGGGTCCACATATTTAGTACTTAGGGACTTGAACAGTTTTGGTTCGATTTAGACAATTTTTATTCACAAGGTGGCATACTTTAAAAGTATTATTCACGCAAAGTTTTACCACGATATAGTCATTGCTGCTTGATTTGCATAGTGGAAAGTGAAAAAATCAGATGGAATTTAAAATGGTGTTATATGGGAAATAGGCGTGGTTGTAGTCCGATTTCCCCCATTTTCGCACTATAACATAGAAATATGAAAATAACGTTATTCACCGACTTTGGTTGAAATTGATTAAGTAGATCTCAAGATATGGGTTTTCACCTATAAGTGGGCTCTGCCACGCCCACTGTCTAATTTTGGACGCGGTTCCTATAAAATCATCTCATACCATCCCAGAGATAAAATTTAATGTCTCTGGCGTGTTTAGTGCTTGATTTATCGCGCTTTTAGTAGTTTTTAAAAGTACCGTTATATGGGGAGTGGGCGGAGTTGCCACCCGATTTCAACTATTTTCACACCGTCAATAGAAGTTCTAAAAACATTTGCTTCCAGTTAATTTTGTTATTATAGCTTTATCGGTTTAGGAGATATGCACATTAAACCTATTAGAGGCGGGACCACGCCCACTTTATAAAAAAGAGTTTTAACTGCAGATGCCCCTCTCTAATGTGATCCAGTGTACCAAGTAAAGGTCTTGTATCTTATTGCGGAGCTTAGTTATGGCAATTTATTTGTTTTTGATTAAAGGCGTTTTGAGGGCGTGGTAGTGGTCCGATTACGCCCATCTGCAACACCAACCGTCTCACTGTACCAAGAAACATGTCTACCAAGTTTCATAAACATATCTCAATTTTTACTCAAGTTAGAGCTTGCACGGGCGGACGGACAGACGGACGGACAGACAGACAGTCACCCGGATTTTAACTCGTCTCTTCATCCTGATCATTTATATATAATATATATAACCCTATATCAAACTCGATTAGTTATAGGTGATACAAACAACCGTTAGGTGAAAAAAAGTTTATACTCTGTAGCAACAGGTTGCGAGAGTATAAAAAAACGATTGCTGGGGTTTTAAATAGAAAAAGTAGGTCAAATGTGTATGTATTTACTGGTGATATAACATGTTATCTATAATCGTTGACCAAGCTACGCACTTCATAGTACCTAAATATGCTTAATATACCGTACACTTAAAATGAAGGCAGATTTAAGAGATATTTACACTCAGGCTGTCACCGTGGGTTGAACTCATCAGTTAATAGATTTTTGCGCTATGAAGCAGATATCTTCTCGGAAAAGCCAATTTTACGACTGCCGAAAATTTACAGATTTTTTTTTATGTGAAACCTGGTTAGCACGCTACGTTAGTATAGTTATTTAATTGCAACGAAATTGTGTTACCTAACAAAATATCGTCACTTTCGTAGTATGCTTAACGCCGATTTGCTTAACTGCTCTGGGTAATAAACGGGCGGTTTTAAACTAAAACAAGAAAAAACGTTAGCATGATTGCACCGAAGCTATAATACCCCATGCAGCAAATATTCTCAGCTCTCTAATGTTATTGAATAATAGATATTATTGTATACATACCATATATAAACATATAAACATTTTGTTTAAAAAATTCTATTCTAATTTATGTTATTGACAAAGTCAATTTTTTTGTCCCAGCTACGAGTTCTAATAGGCATTCATGTGTGGAACCCCATAGGAATTGGTGTTTACTTCATTTGAAAATAAACATTTAACTTTTTTCAACAAGCGGGGAATTTCGAAAGAATTAATATAGAATTACTCCTTAAAAGTTTGACGATTGTTGTATGATTTCTTTAAATGTGTTTATATGACTTCGTAACAGCGAAAAAGTCATAGTACTAAAAGACTGTGTTCATTAGAAGGTAGTTTAGTTAAGAACCTCAAGAATCGCTATTATGAACTTCAATAAAATTAAATAAAAAAGTTCTTAATTGAAACTCATTTTAATACTCTATTTTCCAATACGTACAATATTTCGTTCTACGCTGATAAACAAATTATGTTCTTGAAATCAATATATATTGCTTCTAACAACAATGCCATGGTGCATTTATTTACATTCCATTTCTGTCTTCTAAAAAGTACTGTAAAGGTCCCGGCAGTCAAGTTTTTTTTTATTAATATACATATATTTAGTTGAAACAACCGAAGTTTAAGATTAACTGCGAAGTGTTAGTTTATTAGCCGAAAGCTCGAGCAAGTAGACGATGTTTCGATTTTGATTTTTATTGAAAAGCTCCTGAAGAGACATAGTAATAATTTGTATATATGTACATATTTCGTATATATATATTTATATATACCAATTTAATATAAATATTTGTAGAAAACTAATTAGCTACCCGTGTTTCGTAATTCATCGGCAATGTTGAAGATTTTTTATATCTCTGCAGGGTATGCGCCGCAACTGGCATGTATATATAATATATTAAAATATACTTATGCTTATGTTTATACGAGGTTTGTTCGATAAAAAAAAATGTATAAAAAAAAATAAAGAGAATTTCGGTTAATCATTGCAGCTCAGTAAAAGAGTGGTCATCAATTTCATTGATCAATAATTCTATTTTATTATATCTAAAAATTTATAAGATCTGCACGGTTTAATCTAATATTGCTGAATTGACAATACTTGCCTATGTATGAATCCATGCCATTCTGGCAAAAGTAAAGGCAACTGAACTGGATGTTTTTGTTTCCAACAAGCCGCCGTGTTTTCTAATGGCGGTACTGCGTATTTTTATCGTGGTTCTGACAAAACGTTTAAACGTTTGATAATCATATCGGCACCAAAAACATTCCACTTTAAAAGTATTTTAAATCACAATAAGAACAGATACAGAGCAATTTTGGATAGTTTGCTGATAAGGCCGATGCCCGGTATTTAACATCTCTAAGTAATGAAATGTATATAAATACAATATAATAATATGTCTACATAGATTTTACGGCTGCGGACTTAAATCAAGCTTATCATTATCACTGCTACACAAAAATGTTTTCTATCTGAGCTCACATTCCGGCAATGGTGAATGCCCCCCTATTTTGTTATATTTAGAGTAAAACTGTTGTTTCTCTTACAAATGCCTACAACATTCCATTCATTTCCGACGGTCTTTTGTATATGGAAGCACCGAGTTCTCCATTTCCTAGCGTACACAGTACTCATATCCTTCAAGGGAGACTACAACTTTTTAGTTAGGCAAGTTGAAAGCTATGTTCCCAATTCCTCTCAGAGCTCGTTTCGTTTAAGACATTGCTGGTGATATTCTTGGTCTCTATCCTATTTCGTATTCTTACATTACAACAAAGACCATACGATGATTGATATGAGCTTGACGACTGGGGTTTTGGTGCAATTGATCATCCTTAATTAGTAGAATGATATCGGCGACTGCTTTTTAACCTTACGCAGATTTTGTTATCGGATAGTAACTGTATTGCTTAAGAAACATCATATTTTTTGGTCTTGTATAAAAAAAATTTAAAACAAAACCAACTATAACATATTAACTTATTATCGAGCCGCCCACATACATACATCAATAACTGTGCTCAAAGCAATTGTGCTCCAAAAAGGGGCTTTAGGAAATTTCGGTGGAAGTTTATTTATGTTAATGTATATCAGTTATCGATCAGTGCTCATTAATTGCTGAAGTTTTCAAGTGGTATTTAAAAGTTTACTTAGCAGACACGCCTGCCAAAATCAATACCCAATAGATACATTTTTCAAAATACCACAAGCTTAATTGCTGCGTGTGTGTGCGAGTTCAAGCGACTCGCTGAAAGCACTGGCATTTAGAGCTAATGATCTACAGGATGTTGTAATGTTGGTAATTACAGCTAATATGGTGTTATAATTTAGATCATGGTGTTAACAAATAAGCATATAATTGTTACATACGTAGTTTCGGTTACTTATCATGGTTGGCAGGCACGGCCTATAATATTAAATTTAATAAGTCACTCGATATAATTTTCATTGTACCACATTATCAATTAAATTGTAAGTATAAAAAAACTCACTCTCGCACTCCCATTCAGGATGTACTCAACGCACGTTTGGACAAGCGAGTCGACGCTATGCTCGAACAGGGTCTCTTGGCTGAGATACGTGCATTTCACAACGAACACAAAGGTGATAAAAGGTAAACAAACGCTATAGAATAGAGTACAGATGTATAAAACCCGGAGATATCTAAATATACTATATGTGTATAGCTTAGAGTCCACTTTTGCGCTTGATTAGGAAAGATAATTATATATACATATCTCGCATATCTACCTACATACATCTCTCTCATATGTATTTGTATAAAAGGTCTACCAACAAGAACGACGTGATGTTAAAATTAAATAAAACACAAAATTTGGTCAAAATTAGTTCTGTTTTTTTTGTTATGCAGATAATTTTATGCAATTTATGATTTGAACAAAATGTCAGCTAAATGGCCACCACGGCTCTGTTCGCAAATCACAACAAATTGAAATCGTGTTATAACGCCCGTTATTGATGGTAACCGATACACACTGACAAAATTTTACACAAATCCGTAAACAAACATGGCCGCCCCAAGCTATCAAAATCACTTCATCCCTATTGGTAGACGCTTTATATTATATCACTTGTAGACATACCATATACATATGTACATATAGACATACAAGTATATATCAACTGAGCACAGCAAATAAGCGCCGAAAAACCATTAATCATTTTAATCTTTCGATAATCTCTGCATAACTTTCCTACAAAGTGTCGAAGAAGTTTGGCTAGCTTTTTTGTTATAAATATGTATATATGTTTTGTTATACAATTTTTTATTTACATTTGTACATTTATTTTATTAGCAAGTACATATGTACTCATTATGTTCTCTATGCTTCAGCCAAACCGACAATTCCGCAGCGTACACCCGTGGCGTACTTCAAACAATAGGCTTCAAAGAATTTATACCCTACTTGGAGCAGTTTAATGCGGCAAATGATCAGAAAATTGAAGAGTACTTACGCTTGAATGCGTATAAAATGCCAACGGAAGGTAATTGTATACAATAATCTCGTTCTTTTTTCCCTACTACTTAATGCCACTTAATTTTTGGCATTTTTGATTCGGTTCAGTGTTGACACTGAAACAAATTATTTGATAATTTTAAGATATATGGAGGAGTTTCTTATATTGATCAAGTATGAACAAGAACCATCATAGCATAGTAACTTAAAGTTATTTGAACCTAGGGTTTTAATATGTTTGAAAGCGAGCATTTCAATAAGTACTTAGTCTACGAATAAAAACCGAAATTTTTGAAAAAATCGCGATTTATTTATCAACATAGGTTCTTTTTATCTCGATACACTTGGCCCAGCGATTCTATAACTTCTTTAATCCTGATGCAAAGCAGGAGTCCATAATGGTAATAACCACTTCATACCACTGAAATTTCTGTCCGGCGATACGGGGAATACGGCAATTGTGCAGATTAATAGTACCAAACTCTTAATCAACTCTAGTTTCACTCTCCCACATTATTTCGGTGTTTTACTTTCGATACGTATAACTAAATTCCTACTACTAGGACTATTAGTCAGTACTATTTTACCGAAGCAAAATCATCATGAACATAGCACGAAGAAACATTGTAGTATTTTGCCTATCTTATGAGGTATGAGGGAATGGCAAATAGCACCTACTTTTCGGAATCTTATAAACTGGAAAAGTAAGATACACGGAGGTTGGGTTCTTTTCAGAGTAGTTTTTGGCGCAGTAGTTTGGTCGTGGACTTTCTCTCACTTAGACATTCTCAAGGCATAAAACATAGATTATTTATCGATAATTACTAAAGTTTAGCTAATCTGCTGCTTCTTCCCTTTACCCAACAGGCCGGAAAATAGTTCCTTTTATAGATATTTGAGAATCGTTTTCATATAATTATTGTTATCTTAGGTTTGATGTTTCATTAGGGGGGAAGTGAAATAAGTGACCTAACTTAAATGTTCTTTTTAAACAAACTTTTACCATTTTATGTTTAGATCTCAGTTATTTACCATGTAGACACTCACAAATATAGAATTTTTATGTCTATCTGTACCTACATACATCTTCAACAAAAAAATTACCAATTTGAGTCTACTTTTAGACAGATTTCTTTGCAATTCCAAAATCTAAGACATCTAATTTTCCCACACACTCGCACCTTTTCTTTCTTTACTCTTATTATATTTTATGTTCATATTTGAATTACTATAATTTTTTTATTGTACAATAACTTATATCATTTGCATGCAGAGCACTTCAAAGCACAAAAGCCGAGTTCAATAAACGTAACACCAGTTCAGAAGCACAAACAAAAACAACAAAAGCAGCACGACATTGATAGAGAAATTGAATTAGAATTGGAGGCAGCGGCAGATTCCGATACAACAACTACAAGTCCACCTTTGCCCCCGGGCCTCGAGGTGCTAAACGCGTGTTTGAATGAGCTGAAACTAGTCACACAACGCTACTCCAAGAAGCAAATCAGGTGGATAAATAATCGTTTTTTGGCCAGTAAGGACCGTCAAGTGCCCGATTTGTATGAACTCGAAACGAGTGATGTTAGCTTGTGGCAAGCAGAAGTGTATAAGCGCGCTGCGACGGTCATCGAAAGTTATCGCAGAGCTGAGGTCTGCGAGATACAGCCAATGACGCGTCGTCAACATCCGGGTGCGGGACTCAATGAGGAGGTAAGTTGCCAGAGACAAGGAATTGCACTCACTTTTATAGGTACATCATTGCCACATCTTTTTAGCTTTATAGCAACCGAAGAAGACATAACCTCTTGAGAAAGATACGAGTACATACATTTTATTGTGTAGCGAATATCTAAACCCTGTCTTCTATCGTCCATTCGAAACAGACGTTAGAGTTAACTTTAGGTCTCCTTAGAGAGCTTTTTAATATAAAGCAGTATCTGTACAACAACTAGTACCCGAGTCATGCAAGACAACTCTTAACCCATTATTGGTGAATGTTTGAATCCCTCAGAAGCCTGTTTATAAGATAGCTTATCCGAAGAGAAAGTTCTTAGAAGATGGTACCTATTCCAATCATAGCCAACCAAGTCAAAGCCAAACAATATGACGTACAATTGACAATGTAGTATTATACATTTTCCTTTCGAAAAAGTGTTGCCAACTAGGGATTTGAGAATTTTATTACGGTTCAGTATTTTTGTGACGAAAATGGGCGATTATGGAGTAAAGCAGAACAAAAGTCGAAAGTAATGTCGGTTATTTTATCGTTTATTATTATAAATCTTAAATAACCTGGTTTAATATTACTTTAGAATCTATCTCTTTTAGTTGGTAAAAGGAGTTTCAATATCGTTAGTGATGGAAGTCGGTAAGGAGATTAGAAAGTTACGGAAAAGCAGCGAGATCAGTCGGTTGGGTAACCTGCGAATAAAAATCTAAATACCGAACGACAAGATTGTGCAGCCATATCATAAAGGGTTTTGTTTTATTTATCGAATAAAACATTGCGATATCCGAACAACATCGTAAGATTCAGATTTTCGATGGCCTTAGAACTGACACTACAATATAAAGCTTTTGAAATTAAAATGTGGTTGTTAACACATGTTTATGGTATCGGCATATTCACTTTTAATCGATGCGCGAAAAACAAATTCGCATTGGCAGCGGTTTAGAAAATTGTACATATTAAATAAATTACAAAAGTATTTTTTTATTAAAAATATTTTTCAATGTAATTGATTTACTTTTAGACCAGCAACTTCTGTGAGATCTGTCAACGGCATTTCATAGGCGAATATCAGTGGCATTTACATCTGCAGTCCAATAAGCATAAAAAACGAAAGGAGTCAATTGCAAAGAAGGAAAAAACAAAAGAGATTTCCGTGGAGGCCAAAACGGAAGATACAAATGACAAATTTCTTTGATTAAAAAAAAAAAGAATAGAATAAATAAACAAAGATTTGAAAAACGAAACTTTAATTTTTAATTCCAATGACGTATTTGATCACCCTTAAATGACATTTTAATCCGACCTTTTCCATTCTGCTTCACTGAGAGTATTGAAACTTCTTTGTTGTTGTTGAGATCAAATTGGTACAATCTTACTGTCTAGAGGTCTAGATGATTATAACTGATAGTTTCATTTAATATATCTAGATGTTTAGTAACTGGCACTCCTAAAATAAATTATTGTGAGCTGAACCGGAGGGAGACATCTTTTATTATGAAAGTGACCACGGTTTGTTTTGCTTCTGAAAAAGTAATGAGTTCAAGATATCTTCTTGTAAAAAGTCGGTTCTATCTATTCGTAGTTGACTCCCAAAGTTTGGTCATACTTTTTTTGTCAAAATATTTATGTAAAAGCCAAAACAAAATATTCTTCTTTAATTTTTAATTATTATTCACGAAAGCATTCAACATTCAATATTCGACGAAATCTTGAATGGCTTTCAATAAAATTTGGTATTTTATTAAATTATGTTCAAGGTCATATACCAACTTAGTTTTATTCGCATCAACCAAAAGTATATTAAAATCATTTTCAAAGAGATATATGTGATATAAACTTAACCGAAGAAGCTAAATTTCATATATTTAGATGAAGTTGATAACGTTAACCAGAGGATGGGAATTCATTATATTATATTAGGGGTATGAAGTTTATACCAAGGTTAACACCAAATCCTTACATATTTAGCGCTAAACCATTAAGATAATTTTAGAATTTTGAAGAAAACTTGTCCACTTAACTTCATTAAAGTATCACACATTTTGACCAACCTAAACGGTTTATAGTCAGCTGGAAAGTTAGAAATCACTATACAGGATATATTAGGGGCAGAGAAAGGTCTAATGTTGCATTAACCTTTGACATTATTAAAGTATATTTGAGAGCATATTTTCAAGCAATTTTGTTAATAAATAACTCACACACTGACCGACATATTTGGCTTAAGATTTGTAAAAAACAAAAATCATTTTATATACATACATATTCGTATATAGTGTATGGGAATTAGGTATTTCGTATACTAAATTCACATTTTGCCGGTGTGAGACTATAGTACAACTAATATTATACGTTCACTTAAGTTTTCTAATGATATCGGACATTCAGACCGATATACGCGAAATAAAACCAACCGGAAGTTTGAAAATCTTATATTAGATATATAGGAGATAGGGGTAGTATTGACCCGATTTTTACTACAATATTTTTGGCATTACTACATATTGCTAACGGAAAAAATTAGAAGGAATATATGTATAAGGAGTAAAGTCAGCCGGATGTTTGAAAATCCTGATATTAGTTATATAGGCTAGCGCAAGTTTTCATCCAGATAATTTTCATATTGGCCGATATATGAGGTATAAAGTCAGTTAAAAGTTCGAACATGTTTTTATTAGATACATGGGGGCAAAGATAAAAATTGGCCCAATTCAATCCATTTTTGACATACAGGATTCCCTCCGAAACCCATAATATATCTAATACATTGAACGATAATTTCGGTAAAAAGTCAACCATCGACACTTTACCCATTTCGGTGTATAGGACATGGAAGAGTTATGGCTCGATTTTGACAATTTTAGACTTGAGATGGCATAACTCGAAGGCACTCTTTTTGCAAAGTCTTATTTCGATATATTGATTAGTGCTTGATTTGTTTACTGGAAAGTCAAAAAATCAAATGGAATTTAAAATTGTGTTTTATGGGAAGTAGGCGTGGTTGTAACCCGCCCATTTTCGCACTGTAACACAGGCATGTTACAATAATGTTACTTGGTGTAAATCGGTCAAGTAGATCCCGAGATAAGACTGTCCTAAAAAATTAGTATCGAAAATATTACTCATTAAATCATTATTAAAAAGATCGTGTGAAACTTGCAACACGATCGGTCCAACCGTGTAGTAGAAATTTTCCTCACCGACCCGAAGAAAACGCGTTTAAAGTTTTGGGAGCCGATTACATAAAGTAAAAAATTATTACAAACACCTTCATATCTCTGAAACTATTTTCCGGATCAACTTCAACTTTTCGGAGAATATTTTCAAATATAGATTTTTTGAAATTCGAGAGTGGATATAAAAAAAGTTTTCAATATCGATCAAGTGTATAAAGAGCAATTAAAAAAAAATAAAATAACCTCTACGTGGTTATCGTGTATTTTCTTCAATCTAATGCTGGGGAAAATAATAAGTGCCGCAAAGATAAATTGACGAAGTTAAATGTTTTGCAAAAATGTACAATTGCCGGGGTATGCCGATGATATTAATATTATAAGCCTTAAAAATGACAAGGCGAAAGTTCTTTTATCATCAACTAAACAGTCACTGTTTATAGTCATAACTTTGAAGTTGTAGACAATTTCGTCTATCTTTTTACCAGCACCTACAACACTAACACTGTCAGCCTTGGAATTAAATGCAGAATCTCTCTTACCAACAGGTGCTACTTTGGGCTGAGTAAGCAATTGAAAAGTAAAGTCCTCTCTCGACGAACCAAAACCTAACTCTATGAATCGCTTATTATTCCCGTGCTATACGATACCATTGACATAGTTCAGCGAATAAGAAGACAGTCGTAAGAATGGACGAAAGCACTCCAGCTTTGAAGGTGTTCGATGAGGTATCCGCTAATGCAAGCAAAGGAAGGAGAAGACCTCCATTCGGTGTGAAAGATCAGCTGGAGAGTGATGTGGTTTCGCTTGGTATTTCCAACTGGTGCCAAACTTCGAGAAGACGAAACGAATATCCCGCTATTGTTGATTTGGCTATAATCGCGTAAGCGGTGCCTACGCCAATCTTTGACTTTGCGGTAGAAGAAATCTGACCTCAATGATTCAAAGTCTTACCTCTCTATTTTCTCGTACATGCAATTGAAAGAAAACTTTCTTAATTACTTATCTTTAATAATTCAATAAGTATTGTTTCGTTTTCTTTTATTGTCTTTAGTATATATTGTAGTTTAGTATTTATCATATTTCATTCACTTTTATTTATACAGTTATAAATACAATTTAGTGTTACTTATTGCATTGCTTTCGTTTGTAAGTATATATGTATGTTTGTATGTACTTGTATGTATATAAGTGCTTGCATTTTATACTAGTAGTTATGTATGTATATAAATACAATTTGGATAGGATTAGGTAGATATATGTGTGAATATTTCAACATTTCAACAACTAAAGTATGGAACTAAGCACTCAAAACAACATTTTACGAACATTGCTAAATAAATAAATGTTTGTTTAGTATATATATTAATCTTCATTAAAATGCTAACAATTGAATATATTTTGTTTATGTTTAAAAGCAATCAACACCTTAACGCATTTGTGAATCGATTAGACACATTCATATGTATATGTATATGTATATTATAGCGTGGGTATGTGTCAATGTGTGTGTCTGCGTAGTAAATTTTTAATCGCAACACCAATAACAATTAATTATATTTAAATAGGCATTTTTTCTACAAATATATATGCATGTTTGTATGTTATTAAGGTATCCCATATTTAGTGTGTATATGTTATACTAGGTAAGTATTTGTTTTTGGTATTTGCTTCGCTTCTTAATATTTATACTCAAAAACTTAAAATTTTTATCAATAAAATTATTTGATTTTATATTAATTGCTTAAAAGTTACATGAAGATTTCATTTTTGTTGCTTTTGTATTTGTAATTATTATAACTATTTTTTTATTATTTACCTTGGGACTTTTCTTTTATGCGTACATCAAGAATATGCGAATGCAGTAAATATAAAATACAAATACACGGGTTAATAAAATTCCTTACGAACACACAGCATGAATAATTCACTTACAGGTTAATGGCAAAATTTATGTTTGTAAATCTTTCAATGGGTTAAGTTCAGTTTATGTTTATATACCTATATAATACTCTTAATAGTCTTGTTTTTTTTGTTTTTATTTTATTTTATTGGTTTTTGGTCAAAAATTTAACAAATACGAATTATTAACTCCAAATTACTCAATGAAGTCTATTTATTGTCATAAATTTATGCATGTAAATATATGTACGTATTTATGTATGTATGTATGTATGTAAGTATTGTCGTACACTTTATGAAACATTCGATTCCTTAGAAGTGCAGCGTGAGATCACAATATTATTATGCAGTTAGTTATCTGTTTAGATATGATTGGATGATATTGTTTGCAGCGCTTATAAAAAATAAGTGTTTCTTTAAAATCTAGTATAATAGTCGGTCAGTCGGTCTATTACTTTCTGTATAGCGGTACATTTTGCCGAAATCTTACAAATATTTCGTTCTCGTATAATCTCGTTTTTTTCCAATCGTTCCTTACAAAATTTCCATAAACATATTTTTTAAAAATTTAAAATTAATGCAGTCAATATTCAACATTTTGAGAAGTTAAAATTCGTAAATTTTTTTACAATCGAAGTACGTTTTATAATTCGTTTCAGTTTAAGAAGATAAACAAGCAAGCAACTAACCAGTAGTGGTGAAGAGTGATTTGCATTTACACTAGAGGCCGGATAAATAGAAACGGTTTTTTTTGCTTTTTTAGCTTTTGAAAAAAATAATAGTGATTTTAAGTGAATTTAAACTTGCACTTTAATATACTAAAACTGATCTAGCCGTATTTTGCATTATTGACGATTTATTTCATATATCAGGTGCAAAGTTGAAAACTACATACATATTTATAAGCACACTAATAAAATCAGTAAATAAAGTCTAAATGTGCAAATTTGTAAAACGAACTCGATTCTAATTATCTGGCCACCAACAAAATAAATTGAAAATGTATTCTTGTTGCAATAACTGACCACATCTTCATATACCATTTAATACAATGAACAAAATCGGACGGCAACTTGTAGAGTAAATAGCTCCTCGGTGAACAAAAAAAACATTGTTTAGATTGAAAGGATTTTGGCTTACGAAATATCGAGCCACAAATCTGGTCCGCGAGGACTATTCAAAAGTTGTGTTTTTTATACTCCTGCAACATGCTGCTTCAGAGTATAATAGTTTTGTTCACCTAACAGTTCTTTGTATCACCTAAAAGTAATCGAGCTTGATATAGGGTTATGTATATATAAATGATCAGGACGATGAGACGAGTTGAAATCCGAATGAATTTCTGTCTGTCCGTCTATGCAAGCGATAAATTGAGTAAAAATTAAGATATCCTAATGCAACTTGGTACTCGTGTTCCTTGGCAAAAAAGTGGGGAGGAGTTCGTTGATGAGCAAAATCGGACCACTGAAACGTGCACACAACGCCATTTATCGAAAACCCATAAAATGTCATGCACCTGTGGGCTAAAAATTTTGCAAAAAGGGGCGTGGCCCGCCCTCTAATAGGTTTAAGACACAAAACACTAAACTTAAAATAACCAATACCGTTATAAGAATCCCTACCAACAGTGTGAAAATGAATGAAATCGGGTGATAACCTCGTCCACTTCCCATATAACGGTTCTGTTAAAAACTGCTAAAAAAACCAAAAATCTATAACTATATGCGTTAAAGACATAAAATTTTACAAACATCTAATTTGAACGATGGGCACATTTAGGTGAAAACCCGTATCTCCCGTATCTACTCAACCGATTCGGTAGGTAATAATATCCTGACATTCCTACATTACAGTGCGAAAATGAGCAACATCAGATAAAAACAACGCCTACTTCCCATATAACACAATTTTAAATTTCATCTGATTCTTTCAGTTTCCAGTATACTAATCAAGAAGCAATCAATATATCCGGATAAAACTTTAGACGAATAGTGCCTTTGAGGTTTGCCACCTTTTGACCAAAAATTGTCCAAGTCAGACCTAAGCAATTCAAGTCCCCAGATACCGAATTTATAGACCGCAGTTCCTTTTGCGAACTTTTTACCGCAAAGATGGGTCAACCTGTCAGATATATTACTGAAATTGGAAAGGAGTTTTTCCCAACTTGTTACTTGTATAAGTTTTGATTCTGACAAAACAATAAAAGATAGATAAGAGATGAATTCTGTAACTTGTTACCGATTCTCAAAAAGTCACTCTCTGTTTAGACACGAAAATTTTTGTAAATTTTATTTTAAAATTTTAATATTTTTTGCCTTAAGCAAAAAAGCTTGCGACTAGTCATAACTGGAGTTATAAACATTAGTTAAATAATAAATTTGGTTTCAAAGTTCTGGAACTGAAATCTATTGCCAAATCTACTATGTCGCACTGGCATTGGTGCATTCAAGGACACGCCAAGGGAAGAGTTTTGAAAAAGTTTTTTTTCTCAAACAAATTTAGAAATTAATTTAATAAAAAAAAATTTGTTGAAAATGTTATGTATAGTTTTTTGCCATCGATGGTCAATTATAGGCCTGAAATTTGATCGCGAAGGTATACTACCCGATAAAAAATGTTCAAGTTCCCAGGGGCATATTTAATCCAGGATTTTTGGAAAGATCAATATATACGTTGATATATAGAAGAAGGGAAGTCTGATTTCCGGAAACCGAAATAGCTGATGAGAATGCCAAAAGTGCCATTCGTTTGGCTACCGAACTAGTACAGGGAATACGGAAGGCACATGTGAGCCGGATAGGCATAAGTAACGACGACACAGGCAGGAAGTGCAGAGAAATAGGCATGAAAGATATGCTGGAACACCTTTTATCTTCTATATTCTCTAGATAACTAGGAACTTCGCTGTTCGAGGGACAAGTTAAAGTATCAAAATTAGATACCAAATCGCTCTTAAAGTTCGCAAAAAGCTTTGACGTCCTATATGATGAAGACTGAATTTGTCAAGATTTTTAAGCTATATTTTTTAGTAAGCAGGATTACCCAAAGGCTTTGCTAAAATACTGTGAGAAGAAAAAAATCTTAATTTTTGACCTTATTCACGAAAATTTTTTGGTATTTGAATAAGCTTGTGCTACTTATCCGACAAATAAAGTTATATTCATATATCTGAAAAACGTTTTGATTATATACGACCAGTAAATATACCTACAACTTTAAAGACGCCTTCGAGGGGCAGATAGATTTTGTTTTCATACTAAGTTGAACAGTAGTTAAAAAGAATATTGTATTCGCCGAATTCTAACTCAACTTAAAATATATTATTATTTTATTAAATTACATCATTATTTTTAAAAGGAAAATTCATAATTAAAGTCATTTGTATTGGCAAAAGAACCGACTTTTCTAGCTACTGATTTTCTTTGAAAATATTAGTTTTTAAACTTTTCATACACGATTTTGCTTAGCATAACAGATCTATGTTTAAATATGATATAGGTATGTATATATATAATAGAACATACTATATAATATTTTGTACGTACAACAACACGCAGTCAAAAAATGTTATAAGCGTATAGAACAACCAGGTATGAGTTATATTAGAGAATAAAAAATAAAAATTCCTTAATTATATTCCAATTTCATTATTAATTTATGTGTTTAAGCAGCGATAGCATGCTTGCTTAACAGTATACATATTTATATGTACCCATATGTGTATATGCTATAGAACTGAAAATGTAATAATTTTGATTTATGTATAATTATATGTACGTTACTTGTGTTTGTGTATGTATGTGAGTATGTAAATTTTGCTATAGGATATGTCATTTCCAGTGGTATCGGATAATGCAAATATGCGCGCCCTTGTCTGCTCTGATAATATAAGCTTTTCTGCACAAGTTTTGGTGACAAGTATTACAAAAACAAAAACGTTTTGACAAGGCAGCAATGCCTGCACATTCATCATTTGTATGTATGTTATGCTATGTTAGGTTGTGTTATGTTGGGCGGCGTGAAGTTGCATGTTTTAAGTATAATATTTTTAGCCTCACCCGACGAGTATACAGCATGTTCATTTGTTATTTTAGACACACTTTTGGTGAAACCTATGTCTAGTTTGGAAAGGTTTTACGCTTTAACAATTTTGTTTAGTTTTGCACAATATTTTTTAAATAAATTTACTATAACGAAAATAAAAAATATTTAAATGTAAATGACATTCGATTTCAAGTAGTATATTAATAAATAATAAATTAAATTAAATTTTCTTCAAATAAGTATTGATATATATTTGAAATTCAATTCAATTTGGTCTCATATATAAGGGAGTGATCAATGAGATCAAAGAAAGATATAAAGTCTTAATAAAAGTTTCAATATTACTTTGAGATTCAAGAGCAATGAGCGAAAACTTGGATTTGGTGGTGGGGAACAGATACCAGTACCGTTATTTAATATATGTATTAAGAATAACTATAAACTCTCAAGTTCTGTCGTTAAAGTCGTACCATTCAAAGTTGGAGAATAATTGATATTTTAGCCAGTTTCGGACAGGAGAAGATGCACCCCGAAATCGAACTATACATAGTTTAGTCACTTTAAACAATGAATTTTAGCAAAAACTATATACATATTAGTTATAAAAAAAAACCTTTAAATTATATATTTTATAAAAAAAGTCATATAATAAATATAAAGTTTTAAAAGTAATTTAAGTAACTATATAATATATATATTTGCACAAATATATCAAAAAACATAGTTTGGCTTTAGGTTTCTATCCTTTCTAACTGGATGTTGTTATTATTATATAATCTTCAACTAATTTACTATTAAAATCTGTATTTTAAGGAACCATCTTTACAAAAATCGATTCAAAATATTTAATATGTTTATGAAAGATCAAATAGAATGTGCTCAGAGAGAAAGTTTTAGTGCTCAAATAAGCTAAATTTGTAAGTAGCATAAGTCGACTTCAGTTAATGTGAACTATTTTCTGCTTTTCAAACCACCCATTGATTCAAATATCGAACTATGTTTTATCTTAACACAGTCCTTGAATCGATAGTTTCCAATTAAAACTAATTAGACTTATATAGACCAAGGTCGATGTGATCCGATCTGAACAATTTCTTCGGAGCTTACATTATTACCTTAGGCAATAACCCATGCCAAATCTCGTGAAGATATCTCTTCACATCAGAATGTTTTCCATGTAAGCTCTTGATTCCGATCGTTCAGTTTGTATGGTAGCTAAATTGGTCCGATATCGATGAATTGCGATAAATAGAGCACTTTCTGGCATACAACACGTCATATTTAAATATAGAAGTATCTTTTGAGCTTAACAGCAATGTACCAATATGCTCTTAATCTAAATTAAAATGAATTAAAAGTTTAAATTAGTCTAAATTAAAATTAAAAAAACATTAGCAACCTCGGTCGTATAGGTATATGTAGAATCATAATCGGTGGCTAATTTTAGTTTTTTTCTTTCTTGGAATCTGTTTACACCTCACTTAATAAATATATTAAATGAGTTATTTAGTTCAATTTAGAGTTGTTTTTTTTTGGAAAATCTATTTTCCTTTAGGCGCTAAGTATTTGTATCAGTGTAGCTTTTGTTTAAGTACAAGTATGCTCAACGTTATTATTGTCCTTAACTTTTATAAATAGTTTAATATATTTACAAGTAGATTCTCTTGTCTAAACTTATGCCTAAACAATGCGCTACTTTAAATTATTGTCTTTAAGTGTAATTCTACAGAATTAACTTATATTATATACTCTTGTATAGATATATTTATGTATAATTTATATGTATGTATATATATAATTTATTTCATGCTTAACGTATTATTGTATAGTTGAGTCACCAAACCATTTTTTATTCACCAAAACACCAAAAATGCAGATTTTTTATTAAAATAAAATGTTAATAACTTTACCCTAGCCTCGCAGTATTTATTTTGCTCACTTTGATTATTCGTTTTAGTTATTTTCGCATGTTCTATCCACCTTCTCCTTTCGCTTTAAATATATTCTGTAGTGCTCGACGCTTTCGTATGAGTCATTTATACGTATTTCCTCCAATATATGCCACTCATTTCAACATTTCAATCACTGTTTTTGTGACATTGTTCGTAGTTTTTATTTTCACGCATTATTCCTTGCCTCTTGTGTATATTTACTCCTCTTCTTCGAGCGATTTCTCTGGCAAGCCATATTTTGGACAGCACATGCCCTCTGTGCCATCCATATTGAAACAAAATATGGTGCGTTCGATTTCGGTAGGCTCATGTGGCACAATGCCGTGCACCTCTTTGAGCTCTGCCTCTGGGAACCATGCGGGATCTGAATCTTCCACCACCTTAATGCCACATAATCTAAATAGAAAATACATAATTAATTTACAAAACTTGCACACAAAGTGACTGATGCTCGGACATACCTCAGTATCGCCACGATCGGTATCCACAATATTGACGACAGTATGAGGAAGAATGCAATAACAATGCACCAATGGGGCCACTCGAGCTTTTCGGTCAGCCCTTTGGCGGCTATCCAAGCGGGATAACTGCTACCCTCGGTGAGTAGTTGATAGAACGAGGCCAGCAATATTGTGATCATGGCGCAGGGTGAGAGATATTTCCAGCATATCATCCAATATAAGCCGGGACGCGAACCAGTCATCATTTCAATATCGTCGGAAAACCTGTGTTGCAAATAGCGAATAGCAAATCGAAGAATAAAAGTAAAGCAAACAGAAAATCTAAGTTTGCATTTAGAATTTTAACTCGTTTACCTTCTAACACCGTAGATATAACTTATCGACAGGCATTCGAAAAGCGCAATGATGAGAAGTGGGAAGTTGCCAGCAAAACTGTCCATCAACTGAAATATATAGCTACCTGCGCCGTTAGCAAAGCACATTGAGATCAAACAGCAGGAAAAGCAAAGACCCTGGAATGATACAGAAAGATTAGTCAAATTCAAAAATTTTACAATTGCCTTACTGACCCCAACAATCCATTCCTTAGGTAGATTTGGAAAGAGTTTCATATCCACGAGTGATGTTACGACGCCTTCCAGTGTGCCAAACTGTGAATCGATGCCGAGTGTGAAAAGCATTAGGAAAAACAACACGGCCCATATTTGAGCGCCGGGAAATTGATTGATCGCTTCGGTGAATATGATGAAGGCCAAGCCAGTACCCGAAGCGCTCTTCAGTCGAAAAAAGATGAAAATTTTATTTAAATAAATTAAATTAAGATATTAATAGATGAAAAGTTTATTTAAATAAATTAAATTATGCTTCAAATATAATGTTAAACTCACATTCGCCAGCTCTTTTTGCAGATCACATACAGGTAAGTTTGTAGTTCTATTTTGCGCAATCAAACTTTGTCGTTCCTCGTTGCAACGATCGAATGTTGATGTGGCTTTGAAGCCGATCACCGAAAAGACCACAACTCCAGCAAACATCGAAGTGCCACAATTTGTGAGAGACACTAAAATGGCATCTCGATAACAATTGTTGTTGGCAGGATTGTATGAACTGAAGGCGATCAAGCCGCCAAATGCAAGTCCGAGGGAGAAGAAAATCTGCGTACCGGCTTCTAGCCAAACAACCGGGTCAAGTAGTGTTTCCCAGCGTGGCGTGAAGAGATGTGCAACACCTTCTGATGCGCCTGTTTTAGAAAGAGAAGTGATCCATGTATTCAGTTTTCACGAAATTGTTTGAATGTTGGTCAATTATACTAATCTAGAAAATAGTTCAGCCGTCCCAGCGTTCTTTGAAAATGTAAGGATAGTGACCTGATATAATAAATAGTATAATACGTCAAAAAGGAGTCTAACGGAGTTAAATTACATCTTTTAGGTGGTCAATTGACTTGTAGTATTAATAGGATTTTGTTACCAAGATTTCGTCCCAATATTTTTTACCTCGAACACTTACACAATAATGCCCTCGGAATGCGTCAGTTCACATAATCCTTCAAAAAATAGTCCAACATAGAGCACACCAAACAGGGACTTTCTAAGGATGTAACGGCATCATCATTCCACATGCGACAATTTAGCTTATTAGCTTACCCATTCAACAAAAAATTAGCTTCAGCGCTGAACAAAATTTTCTTGTGAAAATTAGAATCGGTAGCCATCTCGTTTTGGGCCCCTTAACCGAACGCGCGACGTGTTTAATGGTTGTGCGGCTTCCATTCTTGCACGAGTTGGATTTTGTAAGCCCGCAAACCTAATCCTTCCGCAAAATCTTCCACAAAGTGGATGGGCTCAACTTCAATTTTTGCAAGAGAAGGCGGGTGGCATTCGCACTGTAAGGTGTCTCTGAGGATGCGCATTATTCACTTGATTCAACGTGGTACGAAACCGATCCATGGTTGCTCGAATAACCGGCTATTATGTTGACCGAATATTGAACGCAGTGAACGATGCGTCGCACAAGCTGGACCATTATTTTTATAATAATAATAATTGTTTCAGAGCAAGTCTGTTCATAACGAAATGTCAAACTAAACTGAGTATAAATCAAATAACAGCTGTTCAAAAACCAGCTCCTGGCCTCATTGAAAGCCATACATTTAACACCCGTTATTTCCTTTGACAGGGAATGCTATACTTCTAAAGCAGCACCTTATATGGTATATACTTAAGTCTATTCTCATCTATACTTGTATATAAATAAAATGTACATTCACATGTTATTTTACGCTTCGTTTGCTACACATTACTTTTGTGTGAACTTTTTATAAATCGTCATTATTTCATGCTCTTTAAACACTCACCTTTCAACGTAATACCGCGAAAAAAGAATATAATGAGCACCACATACGGAAATATGGCTGTCATATATATAATTTTGCCCGACGACGTAATACCCTGCACCATACAGATGTAAACGAGAAACCATGAAACTATTAACGCTATAGCCATGTGAAAATTAAAATTTTCTGGCTCATTGACGCTTTCGGAGCACTGAAGTGTGGTGCGATACCAATAGAATTGCGTGGGAGAAGAGGCCTACAAAATTTAGAAAAATATTTGAATATTATTTGGTCTTAACTATTATAGTATGTATCTATGTATATGTGTGAACTTACATATGAGTATTTTTCATAATTTCAATTGTGTTAATTGTAATGCAAATATTTGCATTGATTTTAGCTTGGAGCTGTTATTTTGTGGCAGTGCTGTTATGTTTGTAGATAAATTTGTACAATATGATAATGTTGAATACGTCACTTAATTACTATTTTTGGTTTTCTTCATTAAATTTCAGAAAAAATTTACTAATTAAGTATTTAATTTCAAATAATTAAAAAAAAATAAAATACAAATTCATGATTAAACCAATTAGCCAGATTATTTTTCACACTGAGATACAAGAAATTATTGGGAGGGTATGAGGAAGGTTATTAAAGTTGAAGCACCCGAAGACATTTCTGTAATAATTTTGAGGAATGCTGCGGAGTCGACAGTCTTTGTCCGGGTAAAAAGACGGGTTCGAACGATAGTTTGGGGCTTGTACAATGTGAAATCGTTCCACAATTACTATTACTTTTTGTAGAATTTTCAGTTTACCTGTTACATGTTCATGATGTGTTTCTTTGTAAGAAAAATATCGATGTGCAGCAAATCAGCATTTTAATGAATTAATTAATTTAAATTAATTACTAGTTACTAATGGAAAAACAGCTTGTTGAAGGCAACTAAATATACTGAAAAAAAATTTATAGAAGAAGGATTAGCGAAGTTAGTATGCAAGATGTAAAAACGCTAGGAAGCATACTAAAATATTGCTGACAATTAATATCTAGACTTCCTACAAGGAATAGAGCTATTTTCAATTAGGCTTAATAACCTTGCCAAATTTTTCTCGGATTATTAATTCTTAACTGACGCGCACAATAGTTATTGTGTAAGAGAAAATAATGAAATGATCTGGAGAAAAATCATCGCCATTCTATCAAACTTCCGTTACTTCGGTTATTATGAAGTTCAAGTCGGCTCATTCTGCAGTAGTTGATTATTATTCCGTTGTTCCAATATTCCCAGCATGCGTTGGAAAAGTACTGTCCTTGTGCGTCTTTTTAAGTAGATGTCATTTGTTTCAAGCGTAAACAGCAATAATTTGTTTTTGACTCAAACATGTCGAACTTTGTGCCTGAACAGTGTTTTTGCAAGGAATTCTTCTTCTTTCTCGGTTGTGTCAAAAATGGTATACGCGACTTTAAAATCGTGATTTTGGCTTTGAAGACGAAGAACATTATAGGCGACCAAAAAAGTTTGAAGATGACTTTCACTTCGCCATTACTCGATGAAGATTGTGGTCAAACACAAAAAGATCACTTAGAAATTTGGGAGGCACTCAAGCAGCCTTTTATAAAAACAGCCGGATGCATTCAAAATCAAGGATATTTGGTACCATATGAATTGAAGCGAACAGACTTTGAAAGACGATTTTGCATATCAGAAATGCTGCTTGAACGTTACAAAAAAAAGTCGTTTTTGTATCGGATTGTGAATGGTGATGAATTTGCATTACTATAACCCGAAAAGCAATAAATCATATGTGAAATCTGTCCAACCTGTCAAATCAACGGCAAAGCCGAATATCCTTGACGCCAAGTTAATGCTCTGTATTTTATGGGATCAAAAGGGCGTGCTGTATTATGAGCTACTTAAGCCGGGTGAAACTATTAATATAGAATTATTAAATTGAAGTGAGCGGTTGCCGAAAAACGCCAATAATTTCTAACATAATAACGCTCGGTCTCGGACCGGTTCAAACTATTTGGAAAACAGCGGCTAGGAAGTTTTGTCTCACCCGCTTTTGGCCCGGACCTTGCCCCTTATGACTACCATATGTTCTGATCGGTGTAGAACACCCTTACTGGAATACGGTTCATATCACAAGAGGGTATCAACAATTGGCTTGATTCATTCAAGGAATCCACAAATTGACGGAAAGATGGGGAAAATGTTACAGTTTCAGCTTTAAATTGTAATATTGTTCATTTTTTTCGTACGTAAACGTTCAAGTTTTCAACAAAAAATCCTGAGTTTTAGCCATAGTTATACATATACTTTTTATATACTCTACATGGATGCCAATTACTTAAATTTACTCACGATTCTTGAAATCTACACAATTTATGTAGTTTTATGAGCGTTCGAATAAAGGATGTTTATTGTTCGTCTTCTTGTGTGTGTGTGGATATGCATATGTGTATGTTCATAATTATGTTAGAGTATAATGTTGCAAATGCGATAATCTGGATGTATGTGTCTGAGTGTGCTACATATTAACTGCTTACCACACATTCCGGCTCATGGTCATAAGTGTAATTGGCATAGAGGCGTGTGGGGCAATCGGCCCACGGCAAAGGTGACTCAAAACTGTGCAACAAGTATATGAGGCACCAGGCAATTATGGTATTATAATACAAAGCGACTATATAACTGACAACTGCGGATGAGATGCCAATGCCGCCCAAATACGGAGAGACCTATGCGACAAAAGAGAGATGGTAAGCGGTTCTTAATTGAATAAATAAATAATAAGAGCATTTATTTTCTTATATATTATACATATATACGACTCTATTTACCTGGCTCCATACACCAATCGCACCCTTGCGCAGTCTTTGGCCTACAGCCAATTCCAGATAGAATATCGGCAAACCCTGTATACACAGCATTATGAAATATGGCACAAGGAAAGCACCGCCACCATTCTTTTGCGCCAAATAAGGAAAACGCCAGACATTACCCAAGCCAACGGCATAGCTAGAATTTATAATAATATATATACGTATACATATTTTGGTTCTTCTTTTTCTTGAGGATTGCATAACTAAATAAATTTAAAACTCGTACTTAGAAAGACTTAGAATTTTCTTCTAAATTTTTAAGATTCGATTGTGAGCTCTGACGATGGGAGATTATTTTTTTCTTTCACAAATTGGGCCGTGTTGTTTGCAATTTGCGTCGAATCCTTCTAATAATTCGGCATAGTTAATTCCTATGATCATTATGCGTTTCTCGAGGTATTCGATGTAAGGTATGTATCCCAAAGAACGGCAGTAATCGCCTTTTCTTCCGATAGGACAGCCTTTGCCTTTGTCGGAACTAGTGGGTGAAGTCTCCTGTCTCATGCAACATATGACCCACGCGGTCTTATGAGATGCCTACTACTCAGCTAACTAGTGCATCTTCATTCGGCAGTCTGCCGAAATGAGATTTTAGATTTATGTTACGTGTTAGTCGTTCCGGAGAACCTGGCTGTGGTTCATCAAAAACCGAAGTGTGAAGTTAGAATAACTCCCATAAATTTTTTTGAGTTTACCATCGGGTAGAGAAGAGTCACCGTAAACAGTATATCATCTGTTGCGAAATTCTCTTATTTTACCAATTCTGGTCCTATTTATCAGTTCATTTACAGATCTTGCTAGGTCTCGAATGCCGAGTTAGGCACACTACATGAATACCAAAAGCCTAAAACTAACTCTACCTGTTACCATTACCAGAGGGATCTTGCTAATATATGTTGCTTTGTCCAGAAGACTACTGAACATATCCATACTAAATAATCCGAATTGATCTTTACTAGACGAAAGGTTTCGAGAATGCTTTCAATGAGAAGTCAATTCAACGGTGCAACAGCAATGATCCGTGCAGGTCGGAAGGAAATATTGCATATACTCATTTACTACGTTAGACCATATGTACATATACTAGTCCAATCGCACATCGAATACTAATAAAAAGCATTCTGCATCTGTAGTAATTTTATATTAATAGTTTTTACAGTAAATATCCCTTTGAACTAAGAAGAAGAAATAAGATGATTTTTTTATGTAACATTCCCACTTTTGACGTACTTCATCAACAGAAGACCACATTGTCTGGTTAGAGACATTCCGGGTATAATATAAAGTATTATTTTCACTTTGTACACAATTATTCAACAGTTTTGTACCAGCGCTTTCATCGACGTCAGCTTCATAACACTTGGCGGATATGTATATGAATATAAAAACCAATTGAGTGTTATTTTCATGGCTCTTAACGCCATCAATGTCATCGTCACACTTCACTTACCCTATTGTGGCGAGTAGAAACATAATTTTGTTGTCCCAACTTTCACGTTCCTCGCCCTCCTTTTCGCCCTCGACAATATCCTCCTCCTGTGCCTTCACTGTGGCCGAGACTGCAGCGGCCAGTTCTGTTTTTGACTTGCTCGTGCTCGCCTGCGCACCGAAACTGTCGGGTTCCAACTCTGTCGATTCGTCGAAAGCATCGCCGAGAAACGCCTGATTGGTTGCACCGTACATGGGTTGATGGTGATGGGTGGGATGCGGATGATGATGTGTACCGCTGGCATGGTGTTCTTTGGGTACCAAACGACCGCGCATTTCCTAACGAGACGGCAAATAAAGAAACAATACAGCAAAGTCAAACAACATGTAACAGTAAGTCAAGAAGTTGAGTTAACGAAGTATCTAATTAACAAAGTTGATTAAAAATGGACTAGGCACTTCCCGAAATCAAACACTTGGATAATGCGCTTAAGTGGGCATGGAAGTCTGTTAATATATAATATATAAATGTAATATACTCTCCCTTGCAGCTACTCACCCGTAGTTCTAGTTGATCAATGCTCTTTTGACTTTTCAACACCCCGAAGTCTCGCGAACTCTGTCGCCGCAAAAGCTGAGCGGTATTTGCCATTTTTTATTGTGGTTCTGTTTTAGTTTTGCTGGTTTATATCCTTTTTAGTCAGTGTTGCTTACGTTTGCTGCGTTTAAATGCGTTGTTTCAGTTTTAAAATTTTTGTTTTTGTATTTTCTTGTTGCATCTATGCTTTTGTTTTATTGTTGTTATATTCAGCAATTGTTAAGTTGACCGTTATGGTTTTTAATGCGAGTTATTAAATTTCGTTTTCCATCTTTTTAACTATAATTGATTCACTAAACAAGGAAGCGAGTTTTCTCTCTTTACAGCTTCTAATCACAAGTGGTGTAATTATTATTAGTTCTTTGTACAATTAACCTTGGCTTTGTAGCAACATGCATTTTGTACTTGGAAATCTATTATAAGATACCTGCTGACATTTGAGTTGGTGAAAAGAAATGCTTAACACATGCAAAGAAGAAGGTTACAACTGTTTGATTGCACTCAAGCTCGACGCATGCTAGGGAGAACCGTTGTACAGAAAACATGAACAAAATGTGAAACCTTGGATCAAAACTGAGAAAAAGCGAACCAGTTTCCGAGCAACATACACACATCTTTTCTAATTGTCGGCAACCCTCTGAAGGTAACTGCCAACAAACGGATATCTATCTGCTACATATAAGAAGTTACGTTTACAGGCTTCTTAAATTTTTGGGCCTATTAGACATTTGTTGAAGCCGCTAATAATAATTTCGGCCAATTCGCCTAGTTCCCCGAAGGTGTTTCTACGCAGTCAACCTCATTCTAACGAAAACTGAACGATGGAGAAGAAAGTGTCTAGATGGATCTTGGACAGTTGGTATCCGGTATAATTTTTAGCATCACCACTTGAATACCTATAGGACAGTGTTCAGTTAGAACTCCTACAATTGCGGCAACATGAACCTCTCTCTCAGCGAGCAATTCAATAGACCACTTACGCTCCATTCCGGCTCAGCAGGATTTTGAAACCGCACATGTGCTGATTGCTGATCAGGGCTTTCCAAGCTCGCGCGAGGTCCATAGATCTAGTGCCAGAACGCAATGGGATGGAAATACCGGCTCGGAATTTGACTTTGGACACCCTTAGCTTTTAAAATTGTTTATTCGTATCGATTAATTAGATTTACTGTAAAAAATTTGGAATTCAGCGGCATATTAGCCAGCTAAAAAAGGCAATTATATTGTTTTTGAACGAGGAGAGACTTGTTCAAAAAAAAGTTTGTAATGCCCTAAACATAGTTTATGAAATCCCCAAAATAGTTTGAAATTACCTCCATGCTCTAATTGTTTAATCACTCATACCTACTTAAGGGTTGGTTTAAATCATGCCCGACCGAATCGATTACTTTTTGATAAGACTCATCGCCGGGCATTATTCATTGCCGTGTAACGATATTGCAAATAAGGTCACGCCGCTTCATTAATACCGAACTGGGCGCGGGTAAACCGAGCGAATGCTGTACAACCACCAGTTCTTGCGCGGTATCAATGTGCTTCTGGTTCGGTAGAATCAGAAGAGAGCTAATGAGCTAAGTAATATACGGCTATTTAGAGTGAGTTGAGACTAAAACTTTGTCTAGTCTAAATGAAGAAATTCAGAAGCTATTAATAAGAGCCTTGACTCCCACTTCTTGGCGGATCCAGGGTACAATCGGTTATCCAAATTAGTCGTTATTGAAGATTTGTGTTTAAGTCCGGACGCCTCGTTGATACTTAAAGATTTATTTAGAATTTAAGAATATTGATATAACTTATTATTAGTAAATTTTGACACCACGTTAAAATTGTACAAATGTGATTTCTCGTTCGGGAGTTATTGAAAATATGAGGAAAATATTACAGTAATACATATCTGCAATAGCTCTTCAAGTATATAGTGTATAGTTGTATGGCAGTGTATATATAGAAAAATTATGATAAACTATTTTTATTGTTGGAAATTCGTTTTAAATTCGCTTAAAATATAAACCCAAGTATATTTTTATATGAGCCAGTCTTAAATATAAATGAACACTGATATATAATCTGTTCATATTATTATTATACAAATATTACACCGAGAGAAAAATTGCTATGGTCTCTTAATTCAAACATCTATAGTTACATAACTCTTCTAACTATTAACAGTCTAATCGAAGAGATAACTCCATTTGAAAGCAAAATACTGAAAATAAGTCGAATAAGGACATATTTATTGATTTGATTTGATTATCTCAACCCGGATGCCATTAATGCCAAACAAATTACAACGCATTACTCATACGCCCTGTCGAACCTACAACTACTTGCGATAAGTATGCGTATATATGGTAAGTTGTACGTATGAATACACTAATAATCACATTCGGTTATACTGTAATAGTGTTATATAATATGTAATTGACGTTGTGCGTATTTTGATACTTGTACATACATATCATTATGTATGCGTTTTTACCACATGCTTTTCATGCGCATTTAAAACATATTATTTACTTTGGCTAATTTTGCATAGATTCATCATAACTCGATATGAAACGTTCGTGTAATTCTTGTGAGAGAAATAATTAGAAACGAATCCATTATTGAATTTCACAGTTATCATATAATACGTGATATATGGTATGCATGCATACATATAGCATATGTAATAGTATATATCATCCTCGATAAAAGAAAAGTTCAGTGAAAATATATTAAATTGGTATATGAGGCTAGGTTTAGACCATTTTTATTATTTTGTTTTTTATGTGTTGTTTTTATATTTTTTTTTTTATATTGTACATCAAAATTGTGATAAGTGAGTATGGGTACATATATACATAAGTCTAGTAAAAAATAAATTCATTATTTTCCAATATATGGCTTTAATAATCTATATCTAGTATAGTCTAGCATTACAGTGGTAAGATTTCGTACTAAAAAAACGTCTCAAACATTTTGAGATAGCTTTGATTAGAATTATTTGAGCACGCGTCAATGATGGACACCAGAAAAGAGAAAATACACTATACATTATAGTCTCAGTACGATAATGGCGTAATCGCAAGACAGGCGGTTGAAAATCGTTATTGAAAGTCTTGTTACGGTAACAGCCATTCTAGGGAAATTTTGGTTTCGTCGATTCGGTTCCAGGAATTTTGATGTCAAAGATACACCACGCACTGGAAGGCCAATTGTCGAAAATGTCGATAAAATCATGGAAATCGTCGAGTCCGATCGTCATATAAGCACTGTTTCGATTGCTCATAAATATTGCACGAAAGACCGTTATGAACCATTTAAATAATGCACAATACAAAAATAAGCTCGATGTATGGATGCCAGGAGTTAACGTAAAAAAAGCTAATGAACCGAATTTCCTTCTGCGAATAGCTGCTGATTGGCAACAAAATCAATAAATTTCTAAAGCGTATGGTTACTGGTGATGAAAAATGGGTCACTTATGACAACGTCAACTCAAAACGGTCGTGGTCGAATTTCGGAGAACCGGTGCTAGCGGTGATCAAACCAGGATTGATGGTCAAGAAGGTTTGGCTGTGTGTTTGATGGGCGAAACTAATAACTTGGATCTGTGCTGTCAATAATTGCTTTTTCTGAAGACTTCAATCGCGAATAGGCGGCAAATTTCGGCCAATGGAAGTGTAATTTGGACAACGCCAGGCCACACACATCGATAGTGACTCGTCAGAAACTGCAGAAGCTTGATGGTGAAGTTCTTATGCATCCCACTTCTAGTCTGGATATAGCGCCAATGAGAATGAGTAATAACCTCTACAATGACACCATTATCATTTAAAGATGAACCCAAAAACTTCACCAAGATTCAGTTGAGGGGCAAGGGTTTCGAATGAGCGCTCATGAAGGTGGTGTGATCAGCCAAAGTAGGTTAAAGGGTAATAGAATCAAGAGGACATGTGAATGGTACCTTTCTTAAGATAAATTTCAACATTAAATTATGCTTCGATTCTTTAAATTCACCCAATTTAGATTCAAGTCACACAATTCAACATCGTACACTGCTGTAGAGAAAATAGATGTAAACATACTTGCGTGTGTGACTGTAAATATTGACGAGTATTGAACCGAATTTATATTAAATAGTATCCTCACTCTTTGTACCTTACGCACTGTCTTCCGTTTCCGTTATATTTCGCCTTTTGTTTTGCTTTTACTTTCTTCTCTTAATCGCTGTTCGTTTCGCCAGCGCTGCAAACAAACTTTCACCCACTCAATACGTACACTGAATGCTTATATAACATATGAACTACAACTGAATACCAATTCACACGCACCGAGTCAGACATACGAGCATAGAACGAACGCGTTAACAATCGGCTATACAAGTAAAGGCAAACGGTTTGTGTTAGGATCGAATGTACCGAAAATTCACCCAAATTTGCGACGGTCAATAAAAGTGACGACGACGATGTGAACGCTATGAAGCGACGAAAGCGCAAGTACGTTTTAAACTTTTATGGACGGGAAGCTGGAGGTGCTGTGCTGCCGATGGAGTGGGCTGTGGAGGGAGTGCAACAAATAGTTCAATGCTTGCTGAGCACTTACATCGCGTGCGTCTACCAATAAACAAAAACGCCAATTAAGTGGGCTGTATTGCGCGCCTTCGTGTGACAAGACGTTGAACAAGTGAAACAGCAGTGACGTTGCGTTAATGAAAGCGTGTGACGCGCAAGGCTGAATTTCGACTAATGCAGGCGGACGCTTGATGGACTAACTTCTCAAACACGAATGTGGGCAAAGCACATATACATACATACATATGCACATATATGGACTCAAAAATGTGAAAACGACAATTAGATTGGCCACCTGGTGGGTTTGGGCGATGTGTTAACCGTTATTTCACTGCAAGAGCACAGCACAATAATTGATTTTCAGCGCACAAAAGGGAAAGGACACAGCCGACCGTACAGCAGACCAACGCGCACGCACTCACACACCTACACAAATGAAAATCGTACATATAAGCGTTTGTTTGCGTAACAATCTCTGCTTCGAAAACTTTTTATTTCACGCACTAAATATTTACTGCAAATTTTTTATTGTGCATTTTATTTGATTTTCTTCATACACTCAATTGGCGAAGAAATTTTCCGTTTCGATTATGTGTATAATAGCATGTCGATAGGTGGATAGACTGCGTGGCGTTAATGGCGGAGGACCAACGGCGGAGACAAGCGAGTTTCACAAAGTGTAAAGCGAGACTGTTAAATGGCCAGACTAGCTAACGTTGGCACTACCGAAGGATGTTTGTTTCAGCGAGTAAAACCAGAAATAACGAGTAACTAACTGACTTACATATGTGGAAAAGCGAAGGAAAGCAAAACTATCGCAAAGTAGCGTGTCGTTGATAAGAAAGGGTTTTTGTAGTGGTGTTTGATTGTCAAAAGGCAGGTGAAACGTGAAAAATCAAAAGTAAATGATATGAGAGATAACGGAATATGAAATGAACTATAAATAGGTGGAGTATGACAGCTGCTAAATTCGAGTCAGATGAATGAGTACATACAACTCGTTAGGTTGGTCAATCATAACTTTTTGAGAAAAAACAAGAAAAAGCGTTAAAATCGGTTGCATCGGTTGCATCGAAGCTAAAATACCCGGCACAAATTAAGAAGTTTTAATACAAGGAGATATCTTGTCATATAAAAAAGTTTTTCATACAAGAACTTAATTTTGATTGTTCCGTTTGTATGGCAGCTATATTTTACAGCGATCCGATATCGGCAGTTCTGACAAATGAACAGCTTCTTGAAGAGAAAAGAACGTGTGCAAAATTTCAGAGCGATACCTCATAAGCTGAGGGTCTAGTTCTTATATATGCAGACAGACAAACGGACATGTCTAAATCAACTCAGCTCGTCACGCTGATCAGTTATACGTTTTTCGTTTCTTTCTGGGTGTTACAAACTTAATATACCCTGGGTATAAACATTATTGGAAACGAGGAGGCAGCTACAATAATTAGACTCCCTTCTCTCGATAAACGAGTCTACGTAGTCGGAACCGCCCCGTGTTTTTATCTAACCAAAAGCTGTTGTTTCGACGATCCAACCCTGTTTGAATTGCTAAGCAATAAAAAAAAATAAAAAATACTCGGTTCGAACCCGCAACTCGGCAAGGCAAGTCAACATTTCTCAAAACTATGGCAGAATTATTTACTGCCACTACAACAACAGCAACAATAAGAAAATACTTGTAAATGGTTCAATAGTTATTTGGGTGTGTCTTAAAACTTGTGGAGCCTTTTCCACATACATTTTTCGATTTATATAAGTGCTTTTTGTCTTTCAGATCGTCTAACCTACAAATTCCTTTACAGTATGGACACCTATGAACTAGAGTAGCTCGATAAGGCAGTTACAGTTTATCCAATATCCAAAAATATGCAGAACTTTAACCAATTTATATACAAAAGTGGGTATATTAACCACGAAGTTTGGAACACCCAGAAGAATACTTCAGAAACTTTACATTTACTTTATATATATATATATATATAATATATAAATAATCAGAATGACAAACTGAGTCGATTTAGCCCTGTTCGTCTGTCTGTCTGTATATACACAAACTAGTCCCTCAGTTTTTGAGATATCGATTCTTAATTTTGCACCGCCGGTATCGAACATACCAACTGAATGATCGGAATCAAGTGCTTGTATTAAAAACTTTTTCATTTAACGAGGTATCTTTACGAATGGCAACCGAAGCTAACATTTTTTCTTGTTTTGGGTTTTTAAGTAACTCAGTTCGGCAATTTTTGAAATTCGGTCTTCACTTTGTACATACATATATTCAAGAAAAGAGCATTCGGAAAATAAATGTTTCTACTCGATAGAGTGAGAAGGTGAAGTTGTTTTTGAAACGGAGATGCTAATGGAAAAACTTTTCCGTTCTTGCCAAATTAACTTTAAAAAAGTAAGAAAATGGAACCATCGTTATCACCTAGGTATTTCTATCGTTTTTGGGCTAATATCACACAATATTCTCTTAACCAGGAAGAAGGAGGATTATTGGCTAAAAATTTTGCTTGTAAAGTAGACTAAAAGACAGAAAATTTACGTAATCGGTAATAGAAACGACAAATAGTTTTAACAAATCGAAAATCTTTGAAAACAAAAAGAAAAGTAAACGGCGAACAGTCAACGGTTTGCACCCAACTGAAAACGGCTAGCAACCCGTCTTCCACGTTCTTTAATATAAACAATGTTCAAGTCGAATTAAGGTTACTTACTACGGAAAAAAGATCTTTATGCATATCGTTAATTGATTTTGATCGATGAGTTTGCACGTCAGCTATAGGTTGTAGTGATCCGATCTCAACAATATGAGCGGAGATTGCAGCGCTGCCTTGGACAATAATTCGTGCCAAATTATATAAATAAGTAAACAACTTGTATGAATATAACTCGTATGGATACAAGGACTCTATTATGACAAAAGGCAGCTTCTGGGGGAGAAAGGACGGATGCAAAATTTTAGATCGATATCTCAAAAACTGAGGGACCAAGTAAGAAACCCGATTTTGGAGGTGTTACATATTATATATCATAACTAGGCTGTGATGAACGCAATGGTATGAAATGGGGGTTTTTCCTCTAGCGTATTGCGATAAAAATTAGATAATAGTATAATTAACACCTCTAAAAAAGTTAAAAATAATATTTAACTTTTATAAAAAATTGGTTTCAACTTTTATTTTTAATTAATTATATCATTCTCACAGTAATATAATACCCAAAAAAAAAAGAGTTATGAGCACTCGAGAATAGGATTTTCTAATTTTTACCTAAAATAATTTTAGCCGATCGAGTAATCTAACAGTATAGACGCTACATTTTCAATTATTTACAGAAATGTAGCAACTGGCACATGCTATTTTATTAATGCTTAATGAAGCTTTCGGAAATTGAAAAATTAACTTCGTCATTTTGAAGTAAATATCTAAAATTTAAGTCACCTATATAAATATATTTATATATCAATATATATATATATATATATGTCTATGTATATATTTTATATATTTTATTTTGCTCGGATATGTTTACTTTCTGGCCAAGTGATTTATCAAAATCCTTTAACATATTTCGACTTCTTTTTAACCGGCTTTTCCTTCGGATTCGGTTTGAGTGATATGAACTCTTTCTGTTCAGTCGGCGAAGCGGGCATATTAATGATCGCCTCGGTGACTTGAGTTGATTGATGTTGCGGCATAAACTCACTTTCAAATGAAGTATTTAAAACATTCAAAGTATACTCGCTATCAGTGATAGTATCCATTTTAAAAGTATGATTTTCATGTATCACTGTCATAGCGGAGGAATCTAACAGCATATTTTGCAATATATTGGTCGAATTCATTGACTCTTGTTGTGGCAATTTCGGTTTTTCTTCTTTAATATTTTCATTTAGCCAGTCGCTAACAAGGCTAGCTGGATCAGGTTTAACACCCAAACCCTTTTTGATATGCGAGAAAGATACTGCCTTTTTATCATCCTCGTAATCAATATCCCAAATGGCGAGTATGTCTTGGACTAAAGCATCCTTGTAGGAATGTAGTGTTTGTATTGGCTTCTGCCAGCGTCCCAACCCCCGTTTTCGGGTTGGTGTTATATCTGCTTTGGTCTTATCATCCTCTTCGAGGTTGAGTGGAATGCTTAAAGTATTACAGCGAAACACTTTACGCATAGCTGTAATGTAATTTATACTTCAGTACAGATTTTATAAAAAAGTTTTTATTTGATAACGAGTGATTACCTGCTAAATTAACCACCTCTGTGCAATTCAGTCTTGGCTGCGTCAGTTCACAAACACGCTTTGCATATTCACGCATTGTATTTTCCACCTCATCTGCGGACTTTAAGCGTGTATCAAGATCTACTGTATCCTTCTCAATTAAACGATGGGCAAACACATCACCAATAGAATTTGATCTAAGCAATAATGTAAACGTATCACAATCTTCTTCACCAATACACTCTGCAAAAGTTGCGGTATCGTAGAAAGCCAAACCCGTGCTGCAACGTGATATACGAGTCGATAAGTCTGCGTCAGGCTGCAAACATTTACCGGCAAAACGCGCCTGGTAGTAAGCGTCCTGTAATGTTGGTGGTTGATATGGCAAGCAGTAAGACTTGTACACACTTTTTCTTGTTGGTTCCTTCCCCGGTGATTTAGCGACCATTTTTTCATCTTCCTCGACCATTTGCGCTGCATGCTCACGCGTGAGTTCACAAATACACATGTCATCTGCTAAGGCGCTACTAAGTGCTATAAGCTCTACAGCGCCCAACTGATATGTTTCTATAAAAGCAGGTGCATATTCTAACTGATGCGTCCAGCGACAAACTGCGGTAGAGCCTGATTCCATGTTGCCACCTAAGCAGCGCAAATCTAGGCAATGCAATTTATGGTTAGTTGCCACGTATGCCAAATCGCGAAATTCACTTTTTGCAATCGTTGATATCAAATCACAACCATACGTGGACGTGTCATCAAAACTACAACTCTTTAACCACTGCTCCGGTGTGGTGCGCGTATCGATCACTAAGAATTTCTTTTCGTTTGCATATAAAAATGTTTGACCCTGCCATGGTCGTACCATATTCCAACTTATTCGCATAGCATCATCTTTACTGCAAACGTCGTGGGTGGCGGTGAGTGTCGGTGTTCGAGAATTCACATCATACACTCGCACACTTTGCTTCATTGTGGTCATAATAAATGTACTCATATCGATCGGGGACTGTGCGAAACTAATAAATGGCGTAGAAGTTGACTTGAATAGTGTGAGAGCTTTCATTTTTCCAGTGGAAAGAATACTGTATAAATAGACGCGGTTGCGTTGGCGCAAAGCAAATGACATCGAAGAATCGGCATGTAGATTTTGTATGGAACGTACCTCAAACACTTCGCTATCTAATTGCTGCGAACTGATAGGATCGAGAAAACTGCTAGTAAAACTCCTTAACATCGGAAACACACCCAAATCTGAAACGAAGCATATAGTTATAAAGAAAACACCTGAATTTATATTTAACCGGAAACACAACTTACGTAGGCTGTCGAGGTTATTACCATCTACATGCAGCACATGCTGTCCATCTCCCAATATACAAAGATTTCCTCCAGTGTAGTAATAATCGTAACTGCCGTGAAAGTACGGATCAGGATCACATTCCAAACGTTTGGCCAATTCAAACAATGAATTATGATAAATATCTTCCTTGGAGTTAGTCTTGAACTTTTTAACTACAATTATAGAGTGTATAAATAGTTTATAAAACACAAAAAAAAACTTTAATTGCGTTTTCACCGAAGCTATAATACCCTTCACAAATAAAAAATTTGCTTATAATAACTTGATTTTGATTGGTTAGCTTGTATGCAGCTATATGCTGTAGTGGTCCGTTCTGAACAAATTCTTCGGAGAATGTGCCGTTGCCTTGGGCAGCAGTCCATGCTAAATTTCGTGAAGATATTTCGTCTAATAAAAAAGTTTCCATACAAGTACTTGGTTTTATTGGTCAGTTTGTATGCAGCAATGTTGTTGTTGTAGCGGCAGAAAACATTCCTGAAGTAATTCCGAGAAATGAAGCCGAGTTGAAAGTCCTTGACTGGATAAAATTCCGGGTCCGTTCCGATTACTTAGACCGGGCGAGCGGTGTATGCAACTATATGCTTTAGTGGTCCAATATCGGCGGTTCCGACAAATTGACAACTTCTTGAGGAGAAAAAGACATGTGCATCATTTCAGATCGATATCTCATAAAGTAAGGCCTTTGTTCGGGTATATACAGACAGACAGACGGATTTTATAGGGTTTCCGACGTTTCCATCTGGGTATTACAAACTTTATGGTAAACTTAATATACCCTGTACAGGGCATAAAAAGCAAATTCAGTTTAAACCTCACCTTTTTGAACTGTTTGGTAACGTGTCCGTGATGTGTGCAAACGCTTGCGATATATCTCTCTTGCCATTGTGCGACGGTGGCATATATCTACATTTTCGTAATGACTGCTAGCGATATAAATTGGACATGGCATGGAAACATTGAAACTTGGATACAAGCGAAATTCATTTGCGCTGTCAAGTGGGTGTCTCCCCACATTGAATGCAGGAAATAAGCAATGCTTTTGAAGTAATTTTAACTCATCGGAGTTATAAAGTAACATTCTATCTAAAGTGTTAACAGCGACATTCCTTGACGTACTTGGCTTAGCGATTTGTGATTTATCATCATTAGTACAGCGGTCATCCTTCAATAACAAAAGATAGTATTTAACATGAACTAATAGATATTTGTATGATGCTTTACTTGTGACGCATTTTTAGCCTTTTTTGCTTGGGCCTTTCTTATATAGGGACGGGTTGGCATTTTTACTAACTATTTACAAAATTTCACAGCACTATAGTTAATTTCTTAAAAACAACTGATAGGACATCAACAACAGATGTGGAGGTGCAAAACACTTGGTTCGTAAAAACGTTGCCATCTCATTGAGAACCAAAAATATTTTTATTAAAAATGGTTAACTGTTAAACGCTTAATTATAATTTTTGAAACAGCTAACCAAAACATTAACAAGATGTAAAAATATTCCAGTAACAAATTTTCTAAACAAATTTCTATCGTCTTAGTATTTAATAATAGTAAAATATATATGCGTAGTACGCAAAACGGTGAAACCTATAATATATACATACAAAATGTCAAAAACATTTTTTTTTAATTATTTTATTTTTTTTTATTTATTTTATATAAATAATTTTATTATCAAATTATTCGTCTAGTTATCGATAAGTAATCAGCAGTTTTAATTCACCGCTAACCTAAAACGCATCAGCTGTTACGTCAAAAAAATGAAAAAATATTAAAGCTATCACTTGTTTTATTAAAATAATTTGAAAAAAATGCGTATATTCTCGCTAAGTAATCGCTTCGCCAATATACGTACACGTATAAGTGATAAGTTTACATTGCCCGAACGGTTTAAGGGCACTGTAGTTGAAAAGTGGGCACAGTATTGGCGTGGTCTTACCAGCGACTATACGGATGTGATGGTCGATGTTGTGAAAAGTGCACGCACCAGACCGCGAAGGGCTCTTGTATATGGTGGTACAGGTTACGGTTTATATCAATGTGCCAAACACAACCCAGATGAAGAAGCATTTATGTATTCATTACGCGGTTGGAGCAATCAAATGTCCATGGTGACTAAAACATTACACAACCCGGTGTCAGAAGCATACCTGCGCGAACTAGAAATATCCATCAATGAAAACAAACTTCGCACATTTTCACTTGGTATCTGTACGATTTTATGGAAAGATTTGTACGATAAGGAAGATTGCACCTATCCGGCTATATGCAAGTATACACAAGTAGATTATACAAACTTTTGGAAACATATAGTAGATATTGGCTTTTGGGATTACTACTGGCGTCTTGAGTGGAAAATGTACAATTTCGATATTAATTATTTATAGTTACAACTAGTGTTAAGGATTATTGGCTTCTATTATTTTGACCAAAAATATAAAGTGTACAAAACGTTGATCTTCTTGTAAATTAACAACAGCTTTATTTGACAATTTAAAATAAAGTCAAAACAACTTTGTTACGAAAAATCTTATTTTTTACTTTTATCGCCGTTAAAATGCTTTTCTAGTATCGCATTACATTCAGGGATCTTGCTTCCATTGTTGAATTTGCCTTGAAAATTTGATTCACGTCCATTTCCTTTGCCTTGTAAAAGTTCCATAAAGAGTTCACCGAACTTTTTTACTTCTTCCTCGTTACCTCTCAGTACCATGAGACCTTTACCATTATTTGTTGAGTTTTCCGACACAGTGAGGAAGTAAAATATACCCTCAGGCGCATTTCGTAAAAACGTGTTAATGAAATCTGGTTCTATACCATCTTTGCGATGGAGGCAGTAATACTTCGGATAGGGTTGTGGAGTATTCTCCAACTTTTCAGCTTCGGAAATTGCAACATCTTTTAACAACTTTTGAAATGCTTTTGTCGATGATTTCAAATTCAACTGCAATTTCTGTATCAATTCCAAATGTTGAGCTGGCCCACCTCTAGATACATGAAATAACAGATATTGTGAACTATGCGTGAAGATGTAATTTAAAAATAAACATAAATATTTACTTTAGCGCTAAATTCATTTGTTGCTCTCGTTGAAAGATCTCCCCAAGCTTCCGAAGTACACGTTCACCCACTACAAAGTGAACATTTATTGCGCTTTTAACTTTTTCTGCGTATAATAATTTGATACACTGCAGCTGCGATAAGTTTCTTACATGTGTACCACAGCACATATTACTCTCGACACCTTCAATGCAAACAACACGCGCCAATCCAACATGATCTTTAGGTAATCCCCGCGGAGCACGAGCGTCTTGAAACTTCACATTCCAAAATTTTTAGTTATTGTGGTAAGATATAACAAAAAGAATCAATGAGTTTGTGTTAACATAATGTGAACTAATGATTGAAATATTGGAATGCACACATTTCGAATGTAAGTTCACTTGACACTGATATATATAGTTCAAATACTAAATTACCTCTTTAGCAATTTCTGGATCCACCAACTGTACTGTGACCTCTCGACCCATACGAATTAGCTCATTTGCCTTTTGTTCTATTGAATCTAATGACTCACGAGTAATTAGATGTGTGGTATCCAGCTCTATATATGACGTGTCCGTTCCCAGCCACCAAGACGTGGTGTCATATTTAAATTCACTGTCAAATAATGCTGTTATCAAATGTTGGCCAGAATGCTGCTGCATATGATCCAATCGTCGAGTCCAATCAAGCGACTGTTTTACTATATCGCCTTCCTCAAATCCTTTTATAGTTTCCACAAAATGTATTGCTTCTGTTCCTTTTCGTACTACAGAACGCACTGGGTATTCATTAAGGTGGCCATAATCGCAAGGTTGACCACCACCCTCGGGAAAAAGAATTGTATTTTCGCAAATTACATTATATCCTTCCAATTGTCTTGCACTTGTTTCACCTGGTGGTATCCATTCCAACTTGGCGGCTTCACAAGACAAAACTTTTGTAGTAAACTAATTGAAAAAAATTGTTAAGCATTGTATATACATTTTAATAAATACTTGCTTGACGTAAGAAACTATCCTCTTGACATTTAAAAACCATTTTTCAATTATTTTGCTACCAAACGTGCCGTAAATTTGGTTAATTATGCAAAAATTATTGGCAATAGTAATAAACAAAAGTGAAAACAAAAACGTCCTTGTCGGCAACAGCTGACTGCAAAACATTTTCTTTCTTATCGGGCACACGGTTGCAATATGTATGGATAAATAATAAAATAACATAGTAGCTATAAATTTTACTAACAAATTGGTTTTCAAAATTCAATATAAATTAAATGCAAATATAGTTATATTTAATCTTAATCTTGCGATATAAATAAATGTGTTTACAATGGCATGCAACGAAGGAAAAAAATTCAAAACTCAAGCTCCTGAATGCAACAAATTGGACTGTTGGTGCTTTCCAGAACCATATGTCGATCGAAAGGTAACTGTGAAAAACAAAAAATACTGCTGGCTATATCCTCAACAACGTGCAAAGGATTTAAACAAAATGTTACCGAATTTTGACCATTGCGAGACCCTTTATACAATATGTGATTACAGACTTGAAAACTATGTATTTAAACAATTACTCTTGATTGAAGAACAAATTCACAATTTTAAAAATAAGTTAAATAAGGAAATCAATTTCCAACGCAAAATGTTGGATGATATGTGGAAGCTATCTCAACGATTTTTACTATTAACTCAGTAAGTTTTATTAAACATTCTGTTTGATTTCACCAAATAAAAATTATATATGTACAATACTATACAAAATATATCAATTTATTTTAAGATATTACGGTTGCGTTAAGCCATATCCTGACATTGTGTCCATACCGGCGGAAAAAATCGCTCAATGCAAATTTCAGAAAAAACGGAAAGCAATTCAATATTCTAAGTAAATTCCGATTAATATATATAATATTAGTACTTTTAACAGTTATGTTCTAGTTGCCGCTTGGTGTTTATATTGGACACACTTCGAACTTCAATTGGAAAATTAAATCACGTATGCTCTCAAATGGATATGTCAGTTCAAAGTCGCTTTATTTTAGGGGATTATAAAATACGTCCATTATCATACTACCGCAACTTAATCGACGATGCGTTCGAGTATTTCAATAAAGTACTATGCAATTTAAAAAGTTGGACTCAATTGCTTAACATAGGCGATCCAAATGCAATAGACGACTACAGGGGCTTACTGGATCCAAAGAAAAAGTTTGACGAGTTTATAGAAACTGGAAAGATGAAGTGTACATGTCTGCGTACTAAAAATCCTGAATGTATTAATGATTTTGTTAACAAATGCTAAGGATGCTGTACACAAGAATATTTAGAACACACTGAATAAATCTAAACTAATTATGAAAATTTCATCAAAAAAAAAGTTGATCGAATTTTACGATGGCAGCAAAGTACTAAGTACTAGTTTTATCAGTATTCAAACACATCTGGCAGCGCTTATAACCTCAAATGTTCAAGTTCCTTGAAATCAACAATATTTATTCATTTAATTACATATAGTTTTCTTTTAAACGTTTTTACACAATTTTATAGAGAATTTTAGTCTCAAATAATGACTAGTGAGAACGACATACATTATCAAAAAGAAGAGGAGACGCTGCGGCAACTACTTAAACTGGAAGAACTGTTTAGAGAGCACTTAGCGCTTACCAAACGTGAAATGCTTCTTCAGAAAGACATGGTAAACCGTCTGTGGGTTTTGTCTCAACGCTATGTCATTTTAATAAGCACAACAGGCTGTTGTAAACATCCAGAAGTGTATTCTGGGCCCACAGAGGATATTTTGCTACGAGAATATACTGATAAACTTAACCTTTTACGCACATCCAAGTGAGTAAAGTGCGCTTGTAGAAAATAAATATTTAGCTTTCCAACTCTTTTTTTAGTTGCCGAATTTCAGATTCCTTAAGAAAACTACGGCAGCAATGTACTGTTTTTAATTCACTGCACAGTCAGTTAGATTTAACGTTAGAAACTCCGTTTATAATTGGTGACACATTTCATAAACCAATATCATATTTTGTTGAGCTGGTAGACGATTTATTTAAATATTTACACGCGCTGAGTGTAAAATTAAAATATTTGAGTCATCAATTGGATCCGGTGGATTTACTTGTCCTTGAGGAATACAAATCAGCTTTAGAGCCCTCTGAAGACTTCGATGAATACTTACTAGTTGGACTAAGTTACTGCAAATGTTTGCGCCCAAAACAAATTTGCCAGTAGGAAGAAATCAATCGCGTCTAAATTGTAAATGACTTGTTAGTAACTTGTGATACTTCTGTTCCTTTATCGATTTGAAATGTAAACAAAACACTTTTTGTTAAATAAAACTGTATCCTCAATTCTATAGTTAAAAAAGTAAAATACGTTTTTACTACTCAAAAACTTGTTTATTTATTGTTCCGCTTGTTAGTAATCACTATTCGATTAATCAAAGTAGCATAGTATCATATCTGCAATTAAAAACAAAACAAAAAGTTAAATAACGGTTTAGAAAAATGAGCAACTAAATTTACCACGCAAAACGGATAAACAGGCCTTTCACCCAACGTCTGGCTATTTAGCGAAGTCTTCTAGCTTCACGTTCAGATTCTAGCAGGGTAAGAATATCACCTTCACGGACAGGTCCCTTAACGTTGCGGATAATTTGACGATTTTGTTCGCCGATGAATTCCACTTTCACCTGTGTACACTGTCCCTGGGAACCGGTACGGCCCAATACTTTCATGACGCGTGCCCAAACAACTGGTTTATCCATGGTTATTTATAAAAATTTTATATTTTTCGCGAAAAATTCACGTGTAGCAACCGCATAAAATGACAGCCGGAAGCAAAAGAAAGAGGTGTTGTCAACTTTCGACAATTTTTGACGAATATGACAGTTTGGCAGCACTAGTTGCGAAGAGCAGCTCAGTTCACGTCTTGAAAATGAAACCAGCAAGTCACGGCTACCGAAATTGCAATACATTGAATAAAATAGCGCGGATATCACCAAACTTACCGTTCAACTCATAAAGCCTTTGCGTAGGAAAGAGATGAAAGATCACACGTACAGAAGTGTTTCGGGTAGAATAGTCAATTTGGCTTTAAGAAACCTTAACGAAAATTTCTGTTAGCACTGTTGGGATATTAACCGGTAGAGGATATTTTTCGGTACAAGACTCTTTAAAAAAATTATCCAAAAATAGTTTAAGTTTGCAAAGTTTAGTTTTAAGTCACAACTGCTAAAATATAAAATTTAATTCTTTTAATGTTATTAGCTTTGCGAAAGGTAGAGATTTTCCCGCTTAGCGGATTTAACGAATTTTGTGCAAAACGAAAAACAGCGATTGAAATAATTTTCTGTGAACAAATTTCGGAAAACCACAATACCATTCCAGGATTTTGGGATTTTCGAGATATTTGCGATCAAAGCTGAAAGTTTCAACTGTTTTAAGTATATTAAGATGGATTTTTCACTTTTATATCCACTAACACTTCACTAATTCGTTTGTAAACATTTATTTCACATTAAATGGTGCAAAAATAGCTTATATTCAATATTGAACTTTTTGCTCAATTCTATTGTATTATAAAAACAAAACGGTTGCTGACAAATGGCCAGTCTATATCTGGAGAACATTCTCTATCCGCGCATGCCCTTGTCATCCCGGAAATCCTGGTATGGTATTTAATTCCGACCACAAATTTCACGTTAGCTTTGGACTATTCGGAAATAATATAATTTTTGTCAGATTTTAATCTAACTATTCTAAATTAAGAGTGTTTGGTGGTAATTTTTATTTTAATTTTTAAATCAAATATTGAAATACTTTTCTTTCCATCCTAGGAATTGTGATGCAAGAAAACTTTATTTCAGAACGCGTCCGAAAATGTCTCCAGTGTCAAATTTTGATTAAAGACTTTCGTTAAGTACAGCTCCACGTAACAATTGCGGAGAGTTTGCATTTTGACAAGTGAAAGCTGTCCGATGTTTTTCGTGTGTTGATCGTCGTTATTCGGTAGGTTCATCACTTTGCTGTTAAACATTTTCTTTCTGTCAAACGTATTCACTGGCTGTGTTTGCCGCAACTGTTCGAATTAGATTTTCAATTGGGATTTCTCTGGGATAAAAGCAATAAAAATGAAAAGCAATTTCCTGATTTTATTGCTGGTAGTGCCAGCACTAATTTGCACATTTCATGCCCGTAAGTACAATTCAAAAATCTGGAATAATTTGGATTTATTTTATTGGTGAATTGTGCGGTGAGGGAAGTCATCGACGTGGCAGCAGACGATTGCTAGACGAAATGCATTGTTGAGTGGCTTGTCAACACTCAGGTGTTTTGTTTTAAAATTTTCAGAATTCAACATATTGCTTAGAATGTAATCATTAACATCTTTAAGAATGTTGTCGTTAATTGATGTTTTCCTTCTATAGCACATAAATTTGCGGCGTTCGCAGAAGGCTCGGCAGAGGATGACCTCGTAGATGTCGAAGGTGAAGATGGTGCCGTGACCGGTGATGATGCTGAGAATGAGGAGGATGCTGATGCTAGTGTGACCACATCGCCTTATGCTGACACTTATCTGCTTTTCACAAAACCCTTATATACAGCTGGTCAACAATTGGATTTACCTGGTGGCAAACCCGTTGAATTCCTTATCGGTTTCACAAATAAAGGCAAAAATGAATTTGTTATCGAAACTGTGGAAGCATCTTTCCGTTATCCTATGGATTTCAACTATCACATTCAGAACTTCTCAGCCGTTGCATACAATCGTGAAGTGAAACCAGGCTCAGAAGCTACTGTGGCATATTCGTTCTTGCCATCAGACACATTTGCTGGGCGCCCTTTTGGTTTAAATATTGCCTTGAATTATCGTGATGGTGTTGGAGCTCAATTTACCGAAGCTGTTTTCAATGAAACCGTTTTGATCTCTGAGGTCGATGAAGGTCTTGACGGCGAAACTTTCTTCCTGTATGTGCTGTTAGCCGGCATTGTTGTGTTGTTGCTGGTTATTGGTCAACAATACCTTTTGGGTTCATCTGGCAAGAGGAAACGTGCTGCTGCTAAAAAGACCATTGAAACTGGTACCGCCAATGACAGCAACATCGAATACGAATGGCTACCACAAGAAACTTTGCGAGTGCTGCGTAAGTTATATAGCTTTAGCTTGTGTTTGTCATATAAACAATGTTATTTTGTATATTTATAGAACAATCTCCCAAATCAAAGACTCCGAAAACGTCGCCAAAGCCAGGTAAACAAAGCAGCCCAAAACAGGGTCAGAGCCCCAAACAGCGAAAAGTGAAACGTGGTGATGATTAAACTATAACTGTGGCCGCGTCACAGTAAAAACAACAAATTCACCTCAAATGTAAACGCATAATCGCCTTACGCGCTTTGAAATCATTTATTTTTTTTATGTTTTAATACATTGTTTCTATTATTTTTATATGCGACATTTGAGAATTACTAGATTTCGAAAAAAACAAGTTATTTTTAAGTCTGAATAGTACTCTAAAACTCCTCCCATTACAAACGGTATTCTATTAATGTGCGTTGCAGTGCAGTGCTGGTGTTATATTTGTTTTATATTTTTTTAAAACGTGCCAAACGCGTGTACTGCAACGCCGTCTAATGATACCGACTATAAAAACATTTCATGTAGCCGAAAAATCTGTATTAAGTTCAAATATAGTTACCATCACCATATTGTGTAAAATGATGTGGACTTAATGTTGAAAATTTTCTACAAAACATGCAGCATTTATGATCAGCTCGCAACTTATAGTTTCGTATTAGAGATTTTGTTAGAACACAGACACACAAACTTGTTAAAATGTTTTATTTTTTTTGCTTATCCATCTCCATTTTCGCATCAAAAAGATTGTATGAGCTTTCGTTTTTGGTACATTGGAATTGCTAATGTCTGATTTTTTCTATTTGTAATTAGGAAATGTTCATTAACGAAACTAATTTATAAAATAAAAAAAGAAAACCAATAAAAAACGATTTCTATAAGAATTTTAATTTCTGTGTATACATTATATTAAATGTATGAAAGAAGAAAGCTCATCAGCCTTGCAGTTTACTGCAATATGGCTGTGGCCAGGCACTCAAACCAGTCTAAACATGTAGTTAATTGACACTAGAAATAAGGAGTCTAGACATTCTTTCACTAGTCTTGAGTGAGCTCAAGGCTAATATCGCTGCGCTATAATCGGAGTGTATAGTCATCACTCTAAAGGAGGCTGCGCCCCAGAGCAGTATATCTGCTACTACCTTTATTTCAGCCACTTTACCTTGGTAGTTGCTGCAGTGGTCAGGAAGCCTAAAACTGCAGCTGATGGATAGTTCCTGACAGTGTACTCCTCCACCAACCCTCCCTGCAAGCTTTGATCCATCGGTGTAAATGCTCACCTCTCCTAGGATAAATGGACCTTTGTTTTTACCACAAAAATCGGATCCACATTGACGGGTTACCTTCTGAAAGAGTAGTGTTTTTCAGCCGGAAGTGGCTGCTATCAAGGTGGCGGTAGAAGTACTGCTGCATAGTGCAGCCTTGTTTGTAGAAGTGAGCATCCACTCCGATAGTAGGGCGGCAATACTAGCTTTGAGCTCGCGAACCGTGCAATCAAAGCTAGTCAAGGAGTGTCTGTCCTCACTAGAGATAGCATCTGGCTATTTCAACATCAGGCTCGTTTGGGTGCTGGTCACAGCGGAATCGCTGGAAACTGCAAAGCCGATGAGCTAGCCAGGGGGGGCACCCTTGCCCCGCTCACATCGGAATGGGATCGGGTTGGATCTCCGTTAGCGTCTTGCGCTCTAGCTTTGGATCAATGGACCTCGCGTGCACTCAGCAGACGCTGGTCGACAACCAACTCCTGTGCGACCGCGAGAACCTTCTGGCCAAGAGTGGAGCGCAGGAGGTCGGGAAAACTTCTCGCCCTGAGCAAAGTGCATCTCGCCGCTATGGTAGGAGTTCTCACTGGATACTGTCCAATGGGCACTCATGCCGTACGGCTTAGAGTACTACCCAAAGTTGCATGGAGGAGGGCGAGGTGGAATCATCCCGGCACTTTCTCCTCCAATGTCCGGCTTTCGCTTTTGAGATTGAAATATCTCGGCAATCACACATTTGGCGGACCTGAATACTTAGCCGAAATGGATATTGGCCGTCTTAACAAGTTTGTTGTAAGCACAAAGTGTTTCGTCGACTTGTAAGGGTCTTTTGATCCAGATTATAGGAGTTTTGTAGGTATCACAACGGACCGGCGTCTTAAGCTGTCCAAGTGGGATCCTTCTTGGGATCGACCACCTAACCTAACCTACCTTCTGAAAACTCTACCACCTACATTTAATACATCTTGGAAGGGATGGTATTGAAATTGCGACTTTGGTTCGTTAAGATAACTGAGTTAGTAGTATGATTGTATACCATATTAGGAAAATTAGCACCCATATTATATGAGGCAACTGGTATATAGTTGCCGTTCCTCATACCATGGCTATTATGTACATCGGTATTTTGAGTATGCCTGACGGCTACTCTACTTCTACCTGTCGTAATAAATAACAGGGTGAAGGCAATGAACCGATTTTGCGATGCATGCTTGTTCGGCTCTCTCTCCATGCCAGCATAAACTTAAATAATGACCTGCGAAGCTTGGTTCGTTCTACAAAATGGTCCTAGAAATGCATTCGGTAAGGATGATAAAGTAGATAAATAGAGTTATTTCAGATATGAGCGATGTGATTCCATATAATATAACAAGCTACATCACGGATGTCAATCAAATTTTATCCATCACATTCTCATAATACCCTCATAGTACTTCCAACAGAAGGTAATAGCGAATATCACCCAGCTCTTTAACCATGCATAAAAAAAGAGATGTTGGAACAAAAACTCAGGAATATATTGTCGTATTTCTCTTATACCTAATTAGGGGAGCATGTTACGTTTTATGACTTGGAAGTTAACAGAAATGTTTGAAATCGATTCCTAACGTCTACCACGCCCCTATGGAATGTTACTACCTATTTCGTCCATTCAATAAGATTTATCCGTTATACATCGGCCGGTATTTTAAATAGATTTAAGTAAGGAAATGTGACATAATGTAACGGCTATATAGATTTTAGTCTGAAGTAAACTGGTACCAATATGTGTGGGCTGTTTCACCACTGAATATTCTTCTTTAAATGCTATGATGTTATACTATTCAAAAAGGGGTTGCACCTACTTCTTGTACTTCTTATATAAGATAGCTGTTGGCTGTTAAATGGTTGCCCAAATGAAGGCAACGCTCGCTGCCTGAAGTTCACTTATGTTACGGGTACATACTGGTATTGGCACACAGCACAAAAAATCTTGGGTCAGTTCTCTTGGAACAGTTATAACAATTTCAAATTCGTATACAAAAATCATTTTCCGATATATTTTTTTTTATTAACAATTTAACGATAATATTGTCTAATTGTCGAAAAATATCCATATATACATGTATAAATAAAGACCGTTTATCTCTTTTAAAAGTTGCTTAAAACAACGGATGCTAAGGGAACATACAACGCCTTGCGGCATCATCAATACCGTAGGCGCTACTAAACTGCAAATTCCAGAGAAAGTGGAGCGAAGTAAGTGTGAACACTTATCACTTCGATCTCACTTCCGAAAACTATGTACTAGATCTGCATTCCACGGTTACAATATAAAATAATTCGGGTCCCCGGAATGGGAGACCCCAAGGTGTCTTCTCAATTTCTTCATTTCAGTAACAAATCGCTTAATCTACTTATGTTTTTGAGTTGTTTTGATCACTTAAATTATTCTAAAATTAC